AACATTTTCCAAAAAAAAAACTACCGTAAAAGACAAATATCTGCAAGTCAATATATATTAAATGTTTTTTTTTTCCAGTTTTAACAATCTATATAAAGTGCTCAACTTGCTTTTAAAGGGAAATTCAAAATTACAAAAATTCACAAACACACATACACACCTCCTCAACTTGTTTTTCAAGCCATGTTTAATACCTTGGCAATACGGTCTTGCGTAATCGTAAAATGGGGATTACTGTCATTTACTTTAACCAAGTGGGACAAAACTGAAAATAGAGTCCTATAATTGGGTAATTTTTCAAAGTATAATACCCTTAGTAAAAAAAAGGATTGAAAGTAAAATACCTTAATCGAATAAAAGTCGAAAGTACACTAATAAATGAAAAGGCCAAAAAAGAATAAGGAAAATACACCATTTCTTTCTATATTTTAGCATCCTACTTTGAACAGTTAATAACATCCTACTTTGGACAGTTTTTTGACAACTTTCTAACAAACACGAAAAAATTATATAAAAAAATTTAATAACTTGACATACACTATTGTTTAGGGGTTGTTTTATTACCTCCACTCATCTATTTCAATGAAATCTACAAATTAATGCAAGACAAAATTAGATGCTTAGATTTCAAATGTTTAAAGTGAAACAAATGCAAACAGTAAGCGATTTGAATGAAAATGCTAAGTGATTTAAATGAATAGACCCTGTTTGGAGTACTTACCAAAATAAAATATTTATATATATTAATAATAACATCTAATTTTAAGGGTTTGAGAAACTTTGCAGTTAACTTTGAAATTTTCTTGCACAACGATAACATTTTGGACTTGGTTTCAGCATTGATTAAAACCAACAAAACACAAAAACCCAAAGTTGGATTGTTGAAAGATTAGCCAAAATGAGTTTTTTCACATGTTTAATCCCTTCATTTCCATCAAGATAAAGGGTAAGTAAGGTTATCATAAAAGAGATAACCCACCATACCCTTATAGGTAATGAGAATTTTTCCAAGATTTTACCTAACAACTAAATGTTAAAAAAAACTTAAAACAAACCAGGCAAAAAACTATGATGTGGTCAAGAACAGAAATTCAAAACTCACACTTTTTTCATGTACATATTTTGTAATTATACAAACACATCATAACATAAAACCATAGACATCTCAGACATAACATCAACTCAAAATCCCTAAATTGCATTTCGTTATGCAATTTACTATAAGAATCAAAGCTAAATTCCACATACACACGTACACAAAACCTATCTCGAATCAAAACTGATACTGAAAATCTGAATAAATAAATAAATAAATAAAAACTGAAAATTCCAAACAGTATAAGAAGGGGGAAAAGAATTATCAACGCCTTCAATTCCACTTTTGCCCTGACAACCATTACCTTTCTCGATTATCCTTCAATTTCTAGAAGGAATAATAACATAGTAAAATCAAACCACCCGTGTTCTTAATTTCTTCTTCCTCTTTGTATAGGTTGATGGTGGTGGTGAGGGCTTCGTTTCGACCAGAAAACGAAGACATTATAAGAAAGGGGAAATGAAGCGAGAGGAGTTTGGTGTTGAAAATATTGCCTAAAATCAAACCCATACTCTTCTTAATGGTGGTGGTTGCATCTCCTTCAACCAACCACTGTAACACCAAATAAAACCAAAATAAAAATTATACCCTTGTTACTCGACATAAAAGACTACTTTTACCAACTTCAAAAATCGCAAGAACAAAAAATCATATTTCGACCCTCAAGAAAACCCATGAATGAAGTCGAACAACAAAAAAATCAAGAAAAATAACTGATTTAGCAACAGGAGTCAAAGTAAAAATAGAAAAATGCAAACCATAAAAAAATCAAAGAAAACCCTAGAAATTGGGCCTTGCAACTGTTAGTTCTTAATAATCTATGAACAACCATTAAGGTTGTAAACGAACTGAATGTTCAACGAACGTTCGTGAACTGTTCGGCAGAAAGTTCGTTTATATTCGTTTATTTAATAAACGAACGAACATGAACACAAATTATCGTTCGTTTAGTTAAACGAACGAACATGAACAATGGTCTCGTTCGTTCAATTATGTTCGTGAACGTTCGTTTATGTTTTTCGTTTACATTTGTTCATATAATTTCATTTTATGTTCACATATGTTTAATTGTGTTTGATTTTATTAGTGTATTATATGTTCATTTATGTTCATATATATCTTCAATTATGTTTTTTTTTATCTTTGTTCATTTATGTTCGTTTGTTTATGTTCGTTTAACATGTTCACGAACATAAACGAACGAACATGAACAATGTAATTTGTTAAACGAACGAACATGAACAAGGAAACTTGTTCGTTTATCCGTTCGTGTTCGTTTATTTGTTCGGCTAACTTAAAAGAAACGAACATGAACAAGCCCCGTTCGTGTTCGTTCGGTTCGTTTACAGCCCTAACAACCATCGATCAATTTAGATTAAGAACCATCAACAACATAATGGTAGTGATCAACTTATACAAACCGCGTTGATGTAGGATTTCTTATAGAGAGTCGAAAAGATAGAGGGTGATTTGGTTCCCAAAAACCAGAACGCAGAGCACAATATCAAGTAAAGGTCGATTAAAAAGGATGATTAAAGATGTTTCAAGTATATATAGAACCGAATACGATTTAAAGGAGCAAATAAATCAAATTAATTGTAATATATATCATCTTTCAAACGTATCACATTAAATTTAAATACAGATCATATACCATAAAAAGCGGATATCAATTGCTGATTTAATTTGACATGGACAACTGTTATAATATAATGATGTGATTATAGAAGCTGAAATCAAAGAGGGGCAAAAACGGTATTTAACATTGGATGAAATTAGTGTTTTTGAAGGGACACGTGACATATTACTTTCGTTTATTCAATAGGGAGATATTAAACTTTTAATTATGTATATAGTATAAGGTGTATTTTAAACATTTTAAAATAGCACGAGTTTAATCTTTTAATAAATTAAACTTTTAATTTAATTAAATTTAAACCATTTTATGGATTTATTGATTATATTTTAATTAATCACTTAATTAAATTAATAATAAGATCCATAAGGATGTATTTTAAACTTTTCAAAATACTTGGGTTATATTTTAAAATTTCAAAATTAATATTCAATTTATTAAATTAAAAATAAATCAATCATGAATTCAAGATAATGATATCCAATTACTTAGAAAATTATTCAGTTATACTTAAATAAAACATTGTTTAAGGTAATTATCCTAATCAAATAATGAGATATGCCAAAAATCCGAATTTGGTGGATCTGATTGTCCAACACGCCATGGTAAACAATCACCACGTCGTGTTAGGACGAATTCGCAGGTCAACACGCTGTGGTGGAAGAACACCACGTCGTGTCGGCGGAACAGAATGACGATTTTGTTTGCTTCTTCTTGTGTAAGTTCAACAATTGTATCAATTCAATAGAAAATTAAACCTATGCTCTGAGACCACTGATGAGCTTTATGCAAAACATATAACTCCTATGTGTGCATGCAACCCTAATACTTGATCTATGTTTTCTCTAATTAAACATACAACTTTAAACAACAAAATAGAAACCCTAGAACACTAGCATATAATCAAAATATATAAATAGGACTAGGAGAAACATACCTTTAAGAGTGTTATTGTAAACAATCTTGAATCCTTACTTGAAAACCTTTGGTAGCAAGCGTCACAAGTGTCGGACCTCTAATGGTTCACACTCAAACCTTAGCAACCAAGGGACTTGAAGAGAGAGAGGAGAATAGAAGCAAAAAATCGGAATTTCTTCAAAGGAATAAGCCATGGACGAAATTAAACCCAAAAAAGGGGTTTATATAGGTGTTAGGAATGTATTGGATAAGGCTAGTATCTCGAAGATAACCCTAATCCCTTAACTTCATCCCTAAGGCATCCAAGACACTCTTATAGCCCAAGGAAACCCTATAAACATTCTAGATTTTGTTCCCCCTCTTTACGGGAGGTTATAGAATTCCTCAATGCCAAACTATTAAACATTGTCACCTTTAGTCCTCCTACTTTTAATTAATCCAATAAATCCCAAAATTAATCAATTAATTTCTGAATTAATTATTAATTAAATAATACTATTTCCAATTAATATATTATTCTCATAATATATTAACAAATTATTTTTTTTGATTTCTAATTAATTTATTAACAATATAATAAATTAATAAAGCATTCTCTCTCTCTCTCTCTCTCTCTCTCTCTAAAAGCTATCATATTCAATTGCTAGGTCTGATGGCAACTCAAAAGGACCGTGCTACTATAAATTCAAGTTTATACCAATTATAGTTATGAGATTAAACACCTAATCCAACACTTAGAAGACATTAGTCTATGTCCGTACCAAGAAGACCTCACGCAGACGTTTTTAGGTCTGCACACTTCAAAAAAACAAATAGTCTGTGAGGGTCTATGTCTGCGCGGTGCAAACAAAAATGGTCTCGTAGATCTGCAGACAAAAAACAAATGCCCCTAAGTTTAGTCTCAAATGCAAACCACACCCTAAAAACCTCTAGACCCCACCCTAAAAACCCCTGCTAGTCAGACATGACCTCAAGTTATCATAAATACCAAAACTTGCTATTTGTACTGATACAAAGATAGAAACTAATCAAAGATAGAAGCGGCACAAAAGTGACAAAAACCAGGAAAAAGTGAAAGGGTGCACAACTAGTCACTTGTGAGCTAGTAAATGGGTAAATACTAGGAGTGTGAAAGGGTGCACAACTAGTCACTTGTGAGCTAGTAAATGGGTAAATACTAGGAGTGTAAGTGCGTAGTGCATAATGGTTTATTAAAAAAATAATGGTCAAACTTCAATGGTTTTATTAGCATTTTCCCTTTAACTAATTGACAATTCTCTCATTAAAAGGCTTCAATAAGAACTCATATGTGCAACAATTCTAAAGCATTTATCTGTACAAATAAATGATGTCCTGATAGAAACAGAAAATATCCAACAATCATGGTATTTAAGTCGATTAAGTTTCAGTAACAGCTGCCAATTTCACCCTTACTCCGGAGACTTTAGAGATTGTGGACCCATTCATGGCTAAATAACTCCACCTCCAAGAAACTAGGAGCATTGACCGATGGTTGACTATCGATAACAGTAACCATAAACAACAGTTTTCACAAGATGAAAACCCAGATTCCAAGAAGCTTCAATGAATCTGTATTTCTCAATCTTTGATCGTGAAATAGAAACAAGCAAACATCAATAATATGCATATATTCGTTACAAAACAAAAATCTTACAATTAACTACTACTAAAGAAGAGTAAAATTACATTCCTAAGCTTGATGGATCATAAAAAAAATCTAGAACTTGTGAAGCAACTAAGAAAGACGCAACTGCTTTCTCTCTCTACTCTCCATAATTATGAAATTCAAATCTTGAAGAAGAAGAAGAAGAAAATAGATTAGAGAGGGAAATATGCGTGATATTATGGATAGTTTCATCCACCACATTTATCACGACCTTTAAACTGTTAAAACCGTTCCACACCCATGGCAATTTGAAAGACTTCTTGAGGAGATAAGATCTTGATGCACTGTACGTTTTTTACAAACACCCTGAAATGCATACAAATTCGTAAATATTATATACCATGACAAATATCTAATGAACAAAGACGAATGCTTATGTTTCTGCAAAAGAGTTATTCTTTTTGCAAAACATAAACGTTCAATGAAATTCATTGAAAATTGGATGAGAGGAAACCAAACCAAGAGAACGCCACAAGGCCACAACAATAGATAAAGAAATACTACAAACAGTCATTAAACTGACGCCTTGACGAAGAAACCACTCCGAAATTGTCAACAAAGAAACTTAAATAATATTTTGAATTAATTCATTAAAAAGAACACATTAAGATTCAAGCGTAAAAGCATATTTGTCAATTTTTTGTGTGATCTAAAAGCGTATTTGTCAATTGTCATGATTCAAGAGTAATCAAAATACAAATGTGTACGTAATAGTGTCTCTAATGAAAAGCCATCGTTTTCATGGGAAATAGTACATTGAGTAGATTGTGGACTTACTCCCAAGGATCATCCCCAAGAAGGAGAGTGCCATTGTCATGATCCAGAAAGGCAAGTTGCCAGCCACTTCTCAGTGCATAGTCTAGTTGACCCTCCATTCCAAAGATCCGAGCCAATTCTTGTTTAAGATAATAAAACCCTGAATATGCACTAATATCAATTGACCTTTCACCTGCTCCTCTCTTGTACACCTAACACCAATCCAAATAATAGTTTTATATTCTAACACTTCCAATATATACCGTTTGCATGATTCTATTTACGATGATGAGGGCATTTACGTCTTTTGCACAGACAAGAGATTAAAAACGATGATGAGGGCATTTACGTCTTTTGCACAGACAAGAGATTAAAAACGAGTCCCTCCGCCCTTTTGGGTGAGAAAACAAAGCTATAATTTTTGTCATTTTCGGTCCACGTCCCAAGCTAGTGGCCTATTGCACATCAAACATAATACAACCTTATATGTCCTATTGTATGCATAAATAGTAGCTCTTCAATAGAGGCTTGTTATGTATATCAATTTTCCCTTTCTTAGCTTAGGTATATATTTCTTTCTTTTTTATTCTTATTTAGGGTTGATGTAACATAAACAGTTACGATTCAAGCCTTCAAACTGCAGCTCCATGACGAATCATCTTGTCACATTGAATCGATCGTAACAAAAGAATGACATAACAACCCCACTTTCTAAACAGATACACTAACTATAGTTAATAGCAAACCTTGACATAGGTCGGCACTTGCTGAAACCTTTGTGGTGGTGGGACCGGAACACTGCTGTTCAAGTAACCATTTTCGTTTATGGCCAAATCAAGGGAGTTCAAAATCATAGGTTTAACTCCAACCGACTGGAAAACATTCGAACCAGAAAACCCTGAAACCAGGTCTTGTGTACGATCGTCATGGCCTGAATATGCAGTAATATCATTTGCTCCTCTCTTGTAGATCACCTAATTAATCGAAAATACAGTTTAATTTCTTAGACTGGTAGTATACCAAGTGGACATAAGTTTTGGTATATATAAGTATTAATGGGTGTTATGATTATTATCAAGCATAGAAAGTTAGAAACTCAAATTTCCGTTTACTTTTATTTATTTATTTATTTAGTTATTTTTTTTTTTTTGCAAAATTGAAACCCAAAAGAAACTCAAGGTTCGTGGCTTTATATATTAAATCATTAAAGGCGAAGCTTGCAATAAACCAACTCAGATTCAGGATTAGATTCTCAAGAAATCATACCCCATGATTTAATTAAAGTATAACCTGCTGAACTTCATGCTCATCAGGACCTTCATAGCGGGTGCAAGATGCCTCACTTTGAGATGGTGCTTGTCTACATACGCCGTTGACCGATGGTGGCTGTCCATCGCTGTACATCTGACTACTGCCGGATGGTTCAGAAACGACGATTGGCCTCACATTTCCGATGGACGGTGGCTGAGCACCGCTACTGTACGACATGGCAAGATCTGACTGAGATCTCATCTCACAGGTCCAACTGTCGATGTCCATCATGGTATGGCTGTCCATGCGTATATTACGGGAAACCCCACGGGTATAAGCATCCATTGGATTGCCGATGGTACTGAGCTGGAGCTGTTCTCGCTGTCGATCAATAAGATGGAAATGCGTTGCCGGAATACATAGTGGAGATGGGTAGAGTTGGATTTACATACGTTACACTGCCTGTTTCCAAGAAGGGTAGAAAAGAGAACGCCGTGTTTCAACCATTGATGTCACGGTCGAGAAGTAAAGAGAGAAAGAGATTGGACTATTTTTTTTTTTTTTCATTAATCTTTGGACTATTTTTTTTTTCATGGCTTGAAAGGAGTGATGGTGATGGTATGACGGTGAACATAGGCTCCACCGATTTTACCATTGATGTTCGTGGTCAAAAAGCAAAGAGAAAAAGAGAGTGGGACTAATTTTTTTTATTTATCTTATATTCCGATGGGAATTTATTTTAGAGGTTTTTTTATTGATTCATCTTTTAGCGAATTTATTTGAGAGAGTTTTTTATTGATTCATGGTTTAGAGGTTTTTCTTATTGATTCATCGTTTATTTTTATTTAATATTTGATTGTTTTTTTTTATGTATTTATATTAATCATTCAATATATTAAAATTTAATAGTCAATATACTATAAAGCTTTAAACAACCAATTCTTTTTTATTTTTAACATATTTTATTTTTACGGCCTTAATTATATTTAGTTTTAAATATTTTGAGAAAATTACAAATATAGTCAAATACTTTAATTACTTTGTAGAAAATAGTCAAAAAAAAAAAACTCAAATTACATTTTTATCCACTGAAATCACAGATGGATTAAGCCCATCTGCGATTTTAACAAGCCATCTGCGAATATACAAGTCGCTAAAGCACGACTGTGCTTTAGCGACTTGTACGTTCACAGATGGACTAGTCCATCTGCGATTTTGTTAACCCATGTGTGATTTCGAGGAAAACAGGTATAAAAACGTAAATTTTTTTATTTTGTTTCATTTTTCACACTTTTTTTGTTGGAAAACTCTCTACGTAGGAAGCATTATGGACGATTTCATGAACAATCCTAATAATATGGTAAGATCTTTACTCATTTTGTGTTTTAATCATAATTTATCAACTTTAGGCTTTGTTTATTTATGATTTATTCCAAAAAACTTTGAAAAAAACGAAACTTTATTGTGTTTTATTATTCGATTTTCTTAGATCTATGTGTTATATTTGATAGTTAGTAGATTTTATTAGTAGTCTTGAGGTTTTGATGGTATTTGATAAGTAGATGTATAATTGTACAAGTGTATAATGCGTAAATTGTGTATTGTGTGGTTGTATATTTGGTACTTTTTTGTTAATATGTTTAATAATATGATTTTTTTGATATAATAATGGTTATTGCTGTTTGATGATGTTGTACATTTGCATTTTGATGTTGTACATATAGTTTATCAAAAAATGTTTATTTAATTGGTGATGTTATAAAAATGCTTATAAATAGAAATATTATATATATATAATTGGTTTACTTATCCTGGTTATAAATAGACATTTGGTTTATTTTGTGATTGTAATTGCTGATTTTTTTTTTAAATATAATAGTTTATAAGTTGTTGTGTTTTTGTTACAATAATATGTTTTCTAACATGTTGTATTTCAACATGATTATAGAAATCTAAATGTTAAAGTTGTTAACCTAAAAGGATCGGGATGTAACATATAGCAAGTATTTGAAGTATGGCATGGTGTGCGACGGGAAAGTTTAGAAACGCTGTGTTTGGTTACTTGTTGGACGTTCCTCAATTTTAAGGGGACGGGTTGTTGTTTCATAAAATGTTTCTTCATCAGTTACGACCGGACGCAGTAGTATCCCCAGATGGCATAAAGCGGTTGTGTTTTAAATTGGGGGATACTAAAATGGTTTATAGCCCAGAAGAGTTTTCTTTGATAAACGTGTTTAAATTTGGGGGAACGTCTCTTTCCGAGCCACACAAATAGTTTGGTGAAAATATGTGATTTGAGAAGTTTTATTTTAAATCAGTCTTTCTTAGCAGCTACCGACGATGCAGTTAGAGTATGTCTCATATACGTTTTGTGTGAAGGCTTTTTGGGAAAAGAAGCAAATGATCGTGTGCCACAAGACTGATTTTTTTTTGCTGAGAATTTGGATGGGTGGAACATGTATTATTTGTCGACTTTGAAAGTTTTATATTTTTTTATGATAATGTTATACTATAATTAAAAGTTTTTTTTTATTGTAGTTTTGCTTAGGGTAGCTATTTGTGGGAGTTCACCTACGATGACCTTGGGGATACATGGAACAAGATCAATAAATATTTATCACTACCTGTGCCCAGTGTTGTAAAACTCACCGAGTTGGCCGATTACTCCTTCGAGTACTTGCTACTCGATCCCTTACCGAGGCGAGTTACAGAATTCCGAGTACTCCCCGATCGGCCACTTACCGAACTGAGCAGTGTTGTAAAACTCGGTCAACTCAATGATTAATATGTATAATATACTTAATGATTTATTATTTAACACACACATGTGATAATTACTACGTATATATCTTGAATCATCAGTAATTATTTACGAAGTGAAACCATTATGTGTTTTTGAGTTTTTATGTATTCACATGTATCTAATTTTGTTATATATTTCAATCAACTTATGATTTTGACATATATAATTTCCCTAAAAATATTTCTACATGAATTACCGAATCCGAGTACTCTTCAACTACTCGCTACTCGGTAGTCGACCGAACAGGTACCGAGTAACGAGTTCTACAACCTTGCCCGAGCCTCGTCAACCTTTCAAATACTCCGTGTCAGGATTTACCGCGCCATTCAGGGTATACAAATATACAATTATTTTTAAGATATAACAAGTATTTTAGTTGTTATAATTGTTATTAATATAATTGCTAAAATTATAGATATGACTCTATGAGATGCTTCCATCTATTTGAGGTGGTGGTTTTGCATTGCGAAAAAACAAAGATACACCTCGGATGAAGCGATAAAGTGCACCAAAAAATTAAAATGGGTTGATGTGAACAAGATTTTTTATATGACAAAGGTTTTTATATTTTATTTTATTTATTTAAATTTTATGTTTGAACTTTTACCTGCATTATAAATATGTTAATTTGTTTTAGGAGGGACGAAGACCAAGACATAGCATGACACCGAGTGATGATGAGAGAAGGTCTTCTTATTATATGTCATGTTAAAAGTATGTATATGGTGAACCGCATTCAGTTCCATCCCCAGTACGGAACCATTTTAGGATGCAAGACAAATCTTCGTGTAGTGTATCTTCTAGTGATCTCTCCCACAGTAGAGGTGGACGAAGTGGAAACCAAGTTTAGAACAGTTGGCGAAACGGTTATTTAAACTCGAACAAAAGGTGTATAGGAACCGAGAACGCACCTAGGTGATTGTGGAAGAAGTGGATGACAAAAGTATATGGAACAACATAAGTTTTGATGAATCGGCAGAATTTCAAACAAAATTTTCTTTTGATGAAAAGGTTAGTGACACCCTATATTTACGATATAATTTGTTAATAAATATGTATATATTTTTTAATAATTTAAAGATACTAATGTAGGTTTAAGATGATGGGGTGCAGACTAGAAATAAATTTGATGAGAATGTTTTTTATGATAATGAAGCTGAAAAGGTTATTATACATTATAATTACGATATAAATTGTAAATAATTATGTATATTGTCTGTTAATAATTATAACGTATTAATTTAGATGTTGGACGAAAGGGGGCATGAAGGGGGTCGGAGTACAAATCAATTCGATGGTGATGTTTTCGATTTTGATGATAACGAAGCTGAATAGGTTATTATACTTACATTTATGATATTATTTGTTCATAAATACATACTTTTTTATTAAAAATTATAACGTATTAATGTAGGTGTTAGATGAAGAGGTAATAATTACAGGGACTACAAAATCACTTTGATGATCATGTTTTTGATGTTGATGAAACTACACGCGATAGACCTAGGCTTCGTAATCCATCAAAGTTTATGTGTACTCCTTACACGCAGGTATACATTAAAAGCTAATATGGGAAGAATATTTTTTTATGTCAAATATTCAAAACATAATGATTTAAATGTTTGAAAATTGTTTTAGTTACACACTGACCCCAAAGCCAAAGCGAAGAGCAAAGAAGAAGGTTGATACCAGATCAACAACCAATGTTCCTCCTCCAGCATTCACTGTTGACTTTTCGGTTTTGCGCCTACAGCCTTACGTAGCAGGCGGTGAGGTTGGGTTACAAAATTGTTTTTTTCATGCGCATAACGTGCAACACCGACTCTACAATTTGATAGTAGATAAAGAGTTTTGGAGTGCATTGTTTGGGCATACACACAACGGCTGGTTAGATGAAGTAGTAAGTATTTATAAATTTATGATTATAATTGATTTTTATTTATTAATTAATAACAAAATTACCATAACTTTCGCAACATATCACGATTTGGATTAGACTGCTGATGGAGAGGCGGTTTGAAACTAAACGCTATACAATAATGCCTCCAAATTTTTGTTTGCCATATTCTCGAAGATGGTTATGATTGGAGGCCATTTATGTTTGAGGTAACTACATACCCAGACTTTATGGTTCCTTGGTGGGATGTGGATATAGTATATTGTTAGTTTTATTGAACTTACTTTCATTATTATCATTTTTTGTATCGTAATATGAATAAATAATTATTTTTTAAACTTTGTACATGTTTATATGTTGATTCATTCATTTCCAAATCATTGGTTGTTTGGGGAATTACGACTAGAGTCAATGGAAGTCCATATTTATGACAATCTCGATAGGAGTACTTATGCAAAATTTGAGTCAGATGGAACGTTTAGAAAATTTGAGGCTCGGGTTGCAAATTCCTTAGACAAAATTAATTATTGGAAGAGGAGGAACATCCCAAGGATACCATTGAATATAAAATTCATTTTCGAAAAAAAGTTCCCCAACAAGGTAGCGAGTTGGGAGATTGTGCCATACTTGTTTGTATGTTTATGGAACAACTAGTATCAGGCCAACCAATACGTGAACTTATAGACCCAAAAAATGCAGCTTTATAGTTTCATCAAAGGATGGAAAAAATTTATTGGGGATCGTGTGTTGGTCCTATGTAGTTGGATTATATATATATATATATATATATATATATATATATATATATATATATATATATATGTAACTAAATGTTCGATTTATAAATTCAAGTATTAGATAATAATAATTTCATACATAATGTAGTAATAACTTCA